AGAGGTCAAATGTCAAGAACATCTCATATGACATGGGAAGAAAAAGGGCTGAAGAAAAAACTTCTCAAGGGAAGGGAATACAATTTCATGAATGTGAAGGCTTTGGTCACATTAGAGTTGAATGTCCTACATATCTAAAGAAACAGAAGAAGAATTTATTTGTTACTTGGTCTGAAGAGGATTCAGAGAGTGATCTTAAAGAATCTGCCAAATATGTGAAAGCATTGACATACAAATATTTATCTGATGAAGAGTCTAGTGATGGGGAACTAACCTTTGATGAGTTAGTTGCTTCATATAAAGAATTATGTCTCAGAAGTGCAGAAGTATGTCTTGAAGGGGAGAAACAGAAAGCCCTTATAACTCAGCTAACGGAGGAAAAGGAAGAGCATCTTAAAAATATTTTTGATCTGGAAAGTGAAGTGTCCTCTCTAAATTCAAATCTTGATAGAATGGTCAAATCTCTCAAGATGCTGAATAATGGGTCTGACACATTAGATGAAATTATCCAAGCAGGAAGAGTGACATGAGATAAGAGTGGTTTAGGTTTCAATGAGAAAAAGGAACCTAACTCAGAAGAGCCTTCATATGTTTCCACTCATGCCAAGCCTTAACCAAAGATGTCGAATCAAATGTCTTAACATCATGGTAAGAAAGGACATCCTAGCAGACATCATATAAGAATGAACATCATGGAAAACAGCCTGCATCTGTTACCACACATACCAAGGCTAAACCAAAGATGTTAAATCAGATGTCTCAACATGTGGGCAAACATCATGATAAGAAAGGACATATTGGGAAATCTCATGTGAAGAAAGGATATCATGGGAAGAAAAAGATTAATCACACCAGAGAGAATCCCCACCCCTGGAAATGTCATCACTGTGGAAGGCTTGGACATATAAGGCCCTTATGTTTCAAGTTGTATGGGTATCCTAAAAATTCTCCTCCTCCCAAAAATGATAAGATTCCCCAAAACAACAAAAAGAAGAAACAATGGGTTCCCAAGTCCAATGTTAGAAGTCTCATTGCCCACACCTCTCTCAGAGTATCAACCAAAGAGACTGGTACTTTGACAGTGGTTGTTCTAGACACATGACAGGTGTCAAGAATCTGTTGGTGGATGTCAAATCTCATTCCACCAGTTATGTGACTTTTGGTGATGGAGCAAAAGGAGAAATTAAAGGTGTTGGCAAGCTTGACTGTTCAGGAGTTCCCAAAATTGATAATGTGTTACTTGTAAAAGGGTTAACAGCTAACCTAATAAGTATAAGCCAACCATGTGATCAAGGATTCAAAGTTAACTTATCCAAAGAAGAATGTCTTGTGTGCAATGAAAAGAATGAAGTTGTCATGAAAGGAATCAGATCTAAATACAATTGTTATATATGGGTTCCCAAGAGTTAAACCTCTCCTCAAATGTGTTTTAGCCAAAGAGAATAAGTTTAAACTATGGTATCAAAAATTGGGGCACTTGCATCTGAAAGGTATGAAGAGAATTATATCTAAAGAAGCAGTGAGAGGGATTCCTAAGCTCGAGATAGAAGAAGGAAGGGTATGTGGTGACTGTCAAATTGGAAAGCAGGATAAGATGTCACATTAGAAGATTCAACATCTTACTACATCAAAAGTATTGGAACTTCTTCACATGGACTTGATGGGACCTATGCAAGTTGAAAGTCTTTGTGGTAAGAAGTATGCCTATGTTGTTCTAGATGAATTTTCTAGATACACATGGATAAGCTTTATTAGAGAAAAATCAGACACTTTTGAAGTGTTCAAAGATATTTGTCAAAGACTTCAAAGGGAAAAGGAAAGTCATGTCATAAGAATCATGAGTGATCATGGAAAAGAATTTGAGAACAACAAATTTACTGAGTTTTACTCCTCTGAAGGAATCAGCTATGAATTCTCTTCTCCCATTACTCCTCAACGGAATGGGATTGTAGAATGCAAGAATATGACTCTCTAAGAATCTGCCAGAGCCATGATTCATGCTAACAAGCTACCCTACCATTTATGGGATAAAGCTATGGATACTGCATGTTATATTCATAACATAATCACTCTAAGGAAAGGCACTTCAGCTACTTTGTCTGAAATATGGAGGGGAAGAAAACCAATTGTAAAATACTTTCATGTTTTTAGAAGTAAATGTTACATCTTAGATGATTGTGAACAAAGAAGGAAGATGGATCCCAAGAGTGATGAAGGAATATTCCTGGGATACTCTACAAACAGCAGGGCATACAAAGTGTTTAACTCCAGAACCAAAGTAATGATGGAGTCAATAAATGTTACTATTTAAGATAGAGGATGGAATGTTGAAGAAGATATCTCAGAAGATGTTGGAACATCTTTTCCTAATAGTCCAACTGAATCAAATGACATAAGTATTGATTCTAATCCTCCTCAAGAAGATCCCCAGCCTAGTCACCTCAATAAAGGACCTTCAATCAAAACTCAGAAAGATCATCCTAAGGAGCTCATTATAGGAGATCCAAAAAAGGGAGTTACTACCAAATCAAGAGAAGGGATTTCTAACTCTTACTTTGTATTAAAAATTGAGCCTAAGAATGTAAAATAGGCCCTAACTGATGAGTTATGGATTAATTCTATGCAAGAGGAGCTGGAACAAGTCAGTAGGAATGAAGTTTAGGATTTGGTCCCAAGACCTGAAGGGACAAATGTGATTGGCACTATATGGGTATACAAGAATAAATTTGATGAAAAAGGGGTGGTCACTAGAAATAAGGCAAGGTTAGTTGATCAAGGATACACTCAAATTGAAGGAGTGGACTTTTATGAAACATTTTCTCTTGTGGCTAGACTTGAATCAATCAGACTTCTGTTAGGAGTTGCATGCATATTGAAATTTAAATTGTTTCAAATGGATGTAAAAAGTGCCTTCTTGAGTGGATACCTAAATGAAGAAGTTTTTATTGAACAACCAAAAGGATTTATTGATCCAAGTTGTCCTAAACATGTCTATAAACTAAAGAAAGCTCTGTATGGATTGAATCAAGCTCCAAGAGCTTGGTATGAGAGATTGACAGTATTCCTAGGGGAAAATGGATATAGGAAAGGTAGCATAGACAAGACTCTCTTTGTAAAAGAAGAAGAAGGGAAGATTAGGATTGCTCAAATCTATGTTGATGATATTGTATTTGGTGAGATGTCAAATGAGATGGTTCAACATTTTGTCAAGCAGATGTAGTCTGAATTTGAGATGAGTCTTGTTGGTGAACTAACCTATTTTCTTGGTCTGCAAGTTAAACAAATGGAAGACTCCATATTTTCATCTCATAGCAAGTATGCCAAGAATATAGTAAAGAAGTTTGGGATGGAGAATGCAAGTCACAAAAGAACCCCTGCTCCCACACATCTGAAGTTGACTAAAGATGAAAAAGGAGTGAGTGTAGATCAAAGTCTCTATAGAAGCATGATAGGCGGTCTTCTATATCTCACAACTAGCAGACCAGACATTACCTTTGTTGAAGGAGTGTGTGCAAGATATCAAGTTGATCCCAAAGTTATCCATGCCAACCATGTAAAGAGGATTCTCAAATATGTGAATGGGACAAGTGAGTATGGTATGCTCTACTCTCATGGATCAAATTTTGCCTTAATTGGCTTTTGTGATGCTGATTGGGTAGGGAGTGGTGATGATACACTATGCCAAACAAGGGATTAGACAGCGCTTTTTTAGGCCTTTAACAGCGCTTAAAAGCGCTGCTAAAACCTCCGCTGCTAAAGGTATAGACAACGCTTTTTTTTCAATCACTTTAGACAGCGCTTGGTAAAAGCGCTGTCTATTACCCCCCCTTTAGCAGTGCTTTTCCTCATTTTTTTTTTAATTTTTTTTTCAATCACTTTAGACAGCGCTTTCATGAAAAGCGCTGTCTATTACCCCCCTTTAGCAGCGCTTTTCTTCATTTTTTTTTTAATTTTTTTATAATCACTTTAGACAGCGCTTTCATGAAAAGCGTTGTCTATTACCCCCCCTTTAGCAGCGCTTTTCCTCATTTTTTTTTAATTTTTTTTCAATCACTTTAGACAACGCTTTCATGAAAAGTACATGAATACATTATACATGCGTATTTTACTAATTTAGTATTAGTTTTTTCTTTACTAATATCAAGAAGACAAACTTTAAAATAACACTTTCTATATTATCTATGTCTATACTTACATATTTCTTATATGTGTATTTTTATTTCTGCAACCCTTTTGCTGGACAAAACAAAAAGAATTCTTGTACAACCAAGAAATTTCTTATTGAAACAGTTGAAGCAAGAAATGCAATAAAACAACTTTACACACCCATCTTTAAAGTCTTCTGTTGTCATGTACACTATCACTTCCCTTCCCTTTATACACACACAAGCAACATTCTTTTTGAGGGGATACACAAAAAGAACTATTTAGCATGTTGAGAGTTAGGAACATTGTCTACTACACGGATAGGGACTACTGGTATTGAGTCCCACCATTCCTTCAACCTTCTATTCCCAGTTCCTGAAGACTTGCTTGTCTTGAACTCCATGGTGAAACTTTGCACAGTGAGACCCATTAGGAAGAACTTGAATGGTATTACTGCTAATAAGAATGCTAATCCCCCTATTGCCACCATCACTGTCTTTGGATGCTGCCATACAAACAATGTTATCCATCGTAGATTGATCAGAAGCCATATCATATCTACTGACTACTATCTCATTGCATTGCTCATTAAGCTTTTTCTCTCTTGCCTCAAGCATCTTTACTATCACCCATACCAAGAATGTTGCAGCTCCCTTTCCAACCCATTCCCTGCATTGCAAAACTCAATCATAAACAATGTAACAACACCATTTGATAGATACATAATATAGTGTATAAAATAAGAACTTACATATAAGTGATTATTAGGGATGCAGCAAGAACAGCAAGAGTATGTATTGGTCTTTCCCATGTGAATATTTCTTGTAACCAAGGGACCACATTTTTAAGTGGCTTTAGTAGCTCCTGTACAACAAAATCAGCAAACAATGGTCAAGTCTCAATTCCATACACAAACATGGCTGTATTAATAAATTGGTTTCTACAATCTGATAGGTCTAATATTTTCATTTAACCGAGTTGCAAATGCAGTCAAACTGTTGAAGAACCAACCTCGGTATCTTCGGTTTCTTTGTCTGAATCCTCTTGGTTCTCTATTTCACCATCGCTATTGAGCATGACCTTCAGTTTGCCTTCCCTGTGTAGCTTTTCAGATCGAGCATGTCTCTATAGTAATAACAAAGTCATAGATCAACATTGACGGCAAGTAAAATTTTGACATTTCATCAAGATGCAAAAGACGGACGGAAATATTGATTCAAGCTCTATCATTTGTTAAATCACAGTTCTGATCTCTCTCATGTAATACCTGAAGTGTGAATGCAAATAGCGATCCAACTTAATTTGCTCCGTCAAGCCAGCTGATAAGAATTACAAAATGAAACAAAACTGTGAACATGGCACTACAAAGATTGAAATGAACTATTTGTGAGTACTTGTTCCCAAATTATAACAACCAAAAATTAACTATGCACAAAATGTTTTGTGTGAAATCACAGAAAAACTGAGTTTTACAGTTTCTACTCACCAAATGCTGAGAAGAAAGACTTGTATTGACAATCATACAGGGAGTTCAAAAACTCTGACAGATGCGGGATCTTGCCAATCACTGTCAAGATCTCAGGAGCATCCACTACCTGATGCAAATTAGCTTAAGTTGAAGCATAACGCGGCCCAATAAACAATGAGCAGCAGTTACAAGAAAAGGATAAACAGTGTAAAGGCGACATGAAAAAATTGATGTACCTTTTGCTTCAAGGAAACTCTATCCAGTGTTATGATGCTTGTCAAAACGGTGTAAAATATAAAGGTGTCATATGGAAAAAGTTCATAGGTTGTAAAGGTGGAGATAGAATCCAAAAACAATGTTGCAGCCTTCTCGAAATTTCTAGTGGACATGCAGTATAGGCCTTCATACACTTTCAGTCTGTTCTTCCTCTCCCAATCTCCACCTTCTTCAAACAAGCTGTCATAATGTTGCAAACAGTTAGAAAGCCAATTCTTAAAACAAAAACATAGCAAAGGATATAACTACAGATATATGAAACTTAAATAATTACCTTTTAGCTTTGTCAACGCTTTTGGAAATTAGATCAAAATCCATGTCAAAGAAACCAAGCTGCAGCGTATAAAACACCAAGTCCATCTTCTGGCCCACTGCAACAGTCTTGGTTTCTGTTATCTTGAGATGTTCCAGGGCTTTCTCCTAATACATATGCTAGAGTGATGACTTGATTCCAACAGCATAAAGGAAATGAGAAATAAATTATAATAGCAATGCATACCTTGTCCCCAATCCGGATGAAAAACAAGGACTTTGCCAAGTGAGCCTCGCGGACTTCACTCTCGCCTAAGTTATCCTCGGCATCAGCAATCCTAAAATGAGACATTCACATGGAATATCATAAGTGCAATGTTAATTAAACTTGTCACTTTCAAATAACAGTTTGTATCTCAAGGAATTGCAATTAGGAAAAAAAAATTACTATGTATGACCCATCTGACCCAGCCTTGGCATCTTCCATTCTCCCAGTATTTTAGGTTTTCAAATTGTACTTGCTGAGTTGAAATTTCCATATTTTCACTAAAAAAATTAATTATCTTCTCTATGTTGAAAACAAATACCACTAAATCCTACAAAGTATGCAGGTTCTAGCAAGTAGCAACAAATACGTTGTAACCCCTTAAACAGGTCAAATTCGTCCATCGAGAATTCCATTTCTAGGTTATTTAGCAACAGGCATACAGAATTTCATAGCATCACAATTGATATAACCTCTCACAGTCACAGCCAAATAGAAAAGCAACAAAGAGCATTCATTGTAGGCCATCTTCAGTATGGTAGCACCATTGCATCTTCCTCAAATATAGTGGGCATGGATTACAGTGCTACTGTGTCAACTCTCCCAGGGGGAAAATGAAATAATTCGGTCAAAGATGAAACCCAAACATACAGTACATCGAGCTAAAAGAATCAACTTAATTCACAACCTCAGAAAAATGACAGTGGTGAAGATTATGTGACAACTGAAAATCAATAACCAGCAAATCATATGAAGAGAAAAACATTTAATATTAAAATTGAAATCAATATCCTCTGTGCAGGAAGCATTTGTGACAGTGTGCTGGTCATGAATTAATTTCATCAAATATATATTCAACAGAAATTTAAGACTAAATCCTGTTTAGAAATATAAAATATTCAGTTTGTGATAATAACTCGAAGAAGACATACCTGCGGAGTTTGCATCAATGTCATTGGCAGAGCTATCCTCACTTAGGAAAAACAGAAATGGTGTTGGTGATTGTGCCGTTGATGCGAGGTTCTGATCTGTATTTACCGCGTGAATTATAATCTTCTGGATCTCCTGAGAACATGAAAGCAAGGAATTTAACAAATTATATTATACACTTGAAAATAAATCAAACATCTTCTGGGTGCATAAAGAAACTACATTAGACATTTGATTAACATGAAAAATTATCAAGTTCCTCCTCTCATCTTATTGTTCTTACCCTAAATTCAATAACTAAGGGCACAAATCCAAGCTTACTTAATAAATGCCAAGGTAAGATGCACCTAATCAGATGAAAGATGCTAGTGAGAGTTAAACTTCCAGTTAAATATCAGATTTCTTGAAAATTCAATAGAAACAATGCAATGAAAACCTCACATGAACAAGACCATATCCCTACATATGTTACAAGCAAATAAACAAAATAAATAATCGGGAAATCATGCTCCATCAATCCAAATCAAGAATATGCATTAAAAGTTGAAACTTATATTGAGAAAATGATTTATTCACATAAAAACGAATAGTGATACAAGTAAATTCAGAAATATAAACGGAAAAACTAAACTTCATATCATTACCTTCTTTCTGCATCTCAGAGTCATGAAGTACTTTATTAGCCCAGTCTTCGTCGAAAACACCAGTCTTGGCGACAAATCTCAACCAAATTGGTCCAACCAAGCCACATATCAAAGGGGTAACCTTAAACTCTTTCACCAGAGCTTCACATTGAAGCTCAATCATAATTTGCAACCCAAACACATAACGCAGCCTTATCTCATTATGGTAATCCTCAGAGCTAGGAACATTGGAGCCTCCAAAATCAGCAGGAGTTGAGGGACTAAAATGGGAGTGAGATAAGTCAACATTCTCTTGTTTGACTTCAATTAAGCCAAGGCTGGAAAGTAAATTGGATTGGGATAATGGATCATATTGTGAGATGGGGGGAACATCAATTGCTTCGGAATGAGCAGATGCCCGGCGTTGGTGACTGGACAGGTAGATACCACCGGCGGTACCGAAGGCTTCTTCCTCTTCGGCACCATTATCAAAAGCATCCTGATTTTTCTCTCCGCAGCTACTGCAGAAGAAGAAGCCATCAGATTTGAAAGGTTCTCCAACAAAGTTGCAGGATTGACAAGTCACTACACGGAAACCATCCATATTCTGAGCCTGCAATATCATAACATAACATGTATAAGCAAATTAGAGATGGAATTAGCATGAATAACCTAAACAAACTGAATCAGAGAAGATGAAGAAGCTCTTACCTTCAACGATGAAAACAAACAGAAGCTGAGGGTGTAAAAATGCAATGACAAGAGAGTGAATAGTGGCGCCGAGGAGAGATATGTGAACGGTGTCTTCGCAAGGTTCTACCGTGGGAGGGTAATGGTTAGAGGACGACGAAGGGATGAAGGATGGAGACGGTTGACAATTGATGATGGTGGTTGGTAACGATGAAGATGAAGCGGTTGAGAGGAGGGTTTGAGAGATGACGGAACAAAGGGAGTAATGGAGTGAGACAGGGGGAGTTTGGGAGGAGACGAATGGAGAAGAAGATGAACAACGATATGGGTTTAATTTTGTGTTTCTGGAAATCTGATTTAGGGGTTAGGGGTTTAGAAATAAATTAACAAACCAAAGGCAGCGCTTTCAAGAAGCGCTGCTAAAGGTACCCCCCCTTTAGCAGCGCTTTAGGCTTACCCCCCTTTAGCAGCGCTTTTAGATTTACACAAAGGCAGCGCTTTCAAGAAGCGCTGCTAAAGGTACCCCCCTTTAGCAGCGCTTTAGGTTTACCCCCCTTTAGCAGCGCTTTTAGACTTACACCTTTAGCAGCGCTTTTTGAAAGCGCTGTCTAAAGCATACCCTTTAGCAGCGCTTTTATTAATTTTTTAATTTTTATTTTTTTTAAAACCCTATAGCAGCGCTTAGGGAGAAAAAGCGTTGCCTTTGATAAGGCCTATAGCAGCGCTTTAAATAAGCGCTGTCTAAAGTATTTTTTTTTTGGATACCTACAACAGTGCTTTTGCATAAGCGCTGTCTATGTAGCGGTGCCAAAACTCGTTTTTGGCGTAGTGATAGAAAGAGTACATCAGAAGGATGCTTCTTTCTGGGAGATAGCCTCATATCTTGGTTCAGCAAGAAGAAAAATTTTGTGTCTCTATCCACTGCTGAAGCTAAGTACATTGCTGCAGGAAGCACTTGTTCTCAATTGGTGTGGATGAAACAAATGTTAACCGAATACAATGTCAAACAAGATGTCATGACATTATTCTGTGACAATTTAAGCGCCATAAACATTTCAAAGAATCATATTCAACATAGTAGGACCAAGCATATTGACATCCGTCATCACTTCATTAGAGAGCTTGTTGAAGAAAAGATTGTGGCCTTAGAATATGTAGCCATTGAATTGCAACTGATTGACATCTTCACAAAGGCTTTGGGTGCTAATCAATTTGAGAATTTAAGAGGAAATTTAGGGATATGTTTATATAAATGTTTTTAGCAATTAAAAGTGTGTGGGAATATCATTAAAGTGATATTATATTGTTTGTGTTTCGAACAAATAAATTTTAGAAAACAATCATTACAAGACTACCTAAAATTGTTTCCCACACGCTACTACATCTCTTCTCTCTACTTTCACAAACTCTTCATTCTCCTCAACAGAAGAAAAAACCTTGCCATTCCTCATCTCCTTGCTAGAAATTTTTCAAACATGTCTCAACATCACACATCATCTTCCTCAAAATTTGTAACTGAAAATCTTTCTCTTGACAGAGTTCTAGATGTTACTCCTCTATCAATGATCCCTCTGCTTGATAAAAAGGTCAAGAAACCTAGATCATCACCAGCTAAGAAATCTAAAGATGATAAAGAAAACTCCTCTTCTGCTACTGACAATAGTACTGAAGAAGAAATTTTCAATATTGATAGAAGCATCAGAAGACTTGTGGATAGAGTTTTAAATGAAGGATTTGTTGTGCCTGGGATTTCTACTCCCCTTGCTCACATGCCCCCTCCAGCTGACAAAGGAAGTAATCCTAAGAATTATGATGATGAATCATCCAAGAATGATGTTGTTGATAGAAAACTTGAGAAGCTTGCTACCTCTTCGCTAAAAGATGTGGAAGAAGAAAATGTAGATCAAGATGTTGAGGAAATGTTGATCAAAACATTGAAAAAAATGTTGCTACCTCTAAGGATGAAGAATGTCACAATGTTGTGGATGTTGTCAATGTTGAAGATCTCTCTGAAAATGAGCTTGTCACTAAAGTTGTACCTGGTATTGCTAGAAGGCTAAAGTCTAGGAGAGTGAAAGATGCAAGCATAACACTCCCTCCCAAGACTATCAAGAAGAAAACCATGTATGGACCCCCAAAAGCAGGAAGTAAAATGGTCCCTCCTTCTAGCAAGAGAAAATCTATACATGTTACCTCTGCTGATGATGATGAGGATGCTGTAAAAAGTTCCAAGAGTAAGAAGAAAGTTATTCTAGTTGAAGAGACTGACTCTGAGTATGATGTCAAGCAAGATGTCCAGGACATCTCTCCTATCAAAAGTCTGCAAATAAGAAATTGTCTGTTAGGTTTCCTGATGCCCCACTTGACAACATCTCCTTTCACTCTGTTGCAAATGCTGAAAAGTGGAAGTATGTGTATCAAAGAAGGATTGCCATGGAGAGAGAACTAGGAGCTGGTGCCTTGGAATGTAAGGAAATCATGGAGTTGATCTCCTATGCTGGTCTGATGAAAACAATTACTAGGTTTGCAAGATTCTAAGAAAATCTTGTTAAGGAGTTTATTGTTAATATTCATGTTGATTGTGTTGACCATAATAGTAAGGAATATAGAAAGGTTTTTGTTAGAGGAATGTGTGTTGGATTTCCTCTTGCCATTATAAACAAATTTCTAGATAGGTCTGAAGATATATGTTGTTAGCTGGAAGTTACAGACAATCAAGTGTGCAGAGTCATTACTGCCAATCAAGTAAGTGAGTGGCCAATGAAAAACAAGCTTCTTGTCAGCAAATTGAGTGTGAAATGTGCAATTTTACATAAGATTAGAGCTGCAAATTGGGTTCCCACTAATCACACTTCAACCATCTCCATTAGTTTAGGAAAGTTCATTTATGCTATTGGAAACCAAAAACTTTTTGATTACGGGACTTTTATCTTTGATCAGACCATCAAACATGCAGGAACTTGTACCATTAAAATGCCA